TGTGCTCCTGCTGTGCTTTGCCCTTGGAGACATTTCTCTCTCTCCACTGACCTGACTCCCTAATGATGCATGTAAACTAGGGAATCCCCCCAGCAAGTATCCTTGCTTGCAGAGTTTGCAGAATGGACATGTCCAGGATACCTGCGTGGCCTATGTGTACTTCTGACCAGAACAACCAGCACCACTGGAGGTCAGATAGGAATTAAAGCAATAGTATTGGCTGGATCAGGTTTAACACCCCAAGCCTCTTAGAGGAGAGAATGCAGCACTATTGATTCCAGCCCCTGACCTTGAAAAGATGTAAATAAGAGTGCAGCAACCCTAGAGGAGTTGTAGCAAAATAGTTATAGCATTTCAAGCAGATTAAAAAAAATACAGTTAATATACATACTTCCCCAGATGCTTGTTTATTATTATGCAAGACATGTTTATTATGCAAAATGATAGAGCAGAAAAAAAGCAGAGAAAAAGAAAATGCAAAGACGCACTGAGCTCTTAAAGTGACTTGGGTTTTTTCAATGTTGTTTAGATTTTTTTTTAATTGTGCATAATCATTCCCTTATTAGCAGGAATCTTTGAAGTGATTCAAGCTCCAATTTGAGCATTTCAAACTCAGAGGTTTACCCTGTAAAATCATACTGAGCTCTCATAAGCGACCCATTTTTTTCCTCTGTATTCCGTATCTCTGCTAGGGTTTTCTCAGTCTTTCCAATAAATTATGTATCACAATTTGCCATTTCAAAAATAATTAGAACTCTGAGCTAAACAACAAGGAATATCTGAGAGCAGTACATTTTAGAAGAGAAGTGTTATGCACTTGGGGCAAAACCAATCCCAGCTGTAACACCTCTGAATTATACATATCATCATATTGAGAGCTGCAATTTCAGTGTACCTGGAGTGACTGGGTGGGCCTGCAGAGGCTCTAGAGCCCCATAATAAGCATCTGCTCCAGGAGAACCAGGTTTGTCTCTCAAATGAAACACTTTGCATGCACTCTTCCCCATGCCCCTGTGAAGCCAGGATAAAAGAGAGAAATCTGGGTGCCCAGGAGAGAAACTTCACAGAGAAAGGTTATACAGGAGCAGAAATTAATTTGGTGTTGGAGCTATTAACTTCAGACAGAGACAGGAGAGCATGTTCTGTGTCTTCTCCCGTTAAGATTAGGCTGTAAACTCACTGGAGCAGGACATACCTTTATTCTGTGCTTCCCTCCCCTCTGCAACAACCAGCCTTTGGTCTCATCTTCCCAAACCACTAAGCACTAAGACAGTACAAGTAATACCCACTGCCCTTCATTCATTCTGTATATTTTTACTTCAGCATAAAATGCTAACAGTGGATCCTCAGAAGAGTCATGTCACTCCCTAGAACAGCTGCTGATAAAACCCTTCATGCACCATCAGGGAATTTACAGCTGCTCTACATTACAGAAATCAAATGGGAACACACCAATGACTCTGCAAGCTTGCTATGAAGACAGTGTTTTGCATCCTACTGTCTGCAAAGCCAGGTGTCTCAGCCCATGACCTGATTTTTTTACCTACTAAGCACCTACCTAGCAGACTTCAGAGGTAGCAATAAGCTAGTCTGGAAAAAAAACCAACCCAAGAATCTAGTGTAAGTAAACAATGCACAAAAATCACAAACAGTTGCTTCGCAGGCAAAGAGGGTTTGGCACCTAATGCATTTAGGCCTCTGAAGCTGGCTAGGGATCTGTGGCTGGCTTCAACCCAGCAACCCAACCTCACACTGTCCCTACCTATCCCTAACTGAAGAGATGAGGAAACTCACTGCTAAATGTATCAATGCAGCCAAGCATTTAGGAAGGTCTTGTATGCTTCTGCAAAGAGCCTTCTCCACAAGTTTGCCTTTAGAGGACCCCACTCAGCCCTGATTCTGTACTGAATGGCACCAGAAAGACATTTTCCAAGGCTGGTTATTGTAAACCCATTCAAGAGCCCATTCACCCAAACTCAGAAGGAGCTGGCACAAACCACTTCTGAGGCCAGGCTGATAATAGCCTCTCGTTTGATCCAGGGCGGAGGATGTCAGCCAAGGTCTCAGCTGACTCAGACAGATTAAATATCACCAGAAAAACACCAAACAAAAAACAAAAACAAGCCCACAGTGATGATGCATTCAGTTACAGCAGCTACAGTCTGGCCTTGAGAAAAATCAAAACAAAACAAAACCAAAAAACAAACAAACAAACAAACAAAAACCCTGATCAAACCACATTTTCCTAGACAATTGCATTTTATCTGAAAGCAGACCTGGGCTTGAGGGTGTTATAAGAAGTCCTAGCAGGGCTAGGCTTGGGACAAACAGCAGGGGAGGCAGCTAAGCAGCAGAAAAAATTCATTTATCAGTGGATCTGCCTGAGTGAACAGTATCTATGGGGAACAGTGACCTTTTCTTTTTTTTTTTCCTAGAAATGGATAGAGAAAAAATAGGTATATGCACAACACTGAAGGAAACTGGCCTGAAACAGAGCAAAGCTACAGTTTAGGGTCTGCTAAACAAAGGAACAGGGACTTTTGGTGTGGGCAGCAGTCAGGTCCAGGTAGCATGGCCAGGGGACCTGCTCACCCCAGAGAGGAATAGACTCAAATCCTGCAAAAGTAATTCCTCAACACAGTCTTCAAGACTGACACAGCTGTGTCAAATGTGGGATTGGACTGGGGTCCTGGCCCCACAAGGAAACTCCAGCATCCAGAAGAGACTGCTTGAATACTGTCTTGGTCTTCAGTTAAACCACAACAAACAGGATGAGCTCTTCTCAGCCATATCCATTTTTTTTTTATAGGATCCTGGTCTCATGCCTTGTTTTTGATGCTATGGGTGGTTTGGCACACACTCCCTGCTCCTAACAGGCTTTATCTACAAGTTTTCTTTTTTTCTTGCCTTGGGGTCTGCTCCAAAGCACAGCGAGTTCATTGATACATTGTTGTAAGACAGAGACACTAGTCAATACAAGGAGAAAATATTGTCCAGCAAGTTCCATGTCACTGTAGTAGAGATGGACCGGCAGCACCTATTTACTGAAAGCAGAAACCTTGACTCATATTGAACAGTTTAACTTTTACTAGTTCAAAGAGAGATGAATGCCATCAAGCCGTAGCATGTAACAAGGTCCACTTCATTAACCACTGGCCATCAGTGCATACTTAGCCTTCCCAGATTAACCTTCCTACTTAAGACAGGAACACTTGCTGGGCATAAGCAAGGTCCATTAAACCACCCTCATATGAATACATGTATGATCTGGTGCCTAAGAGGACACTTTATATGACTAGCAGATGTGTTTCCTGGACACACGGTCCTCCTGCTGCTCACCACCTCTTGGTACATCCCTCCCACCCTTCCTATGGTCTCGCTATTGTTAGCAAGAGATATTTTTCCTCTGCATCATCTCTAATCTCTCAGCTGTCAAACATCATATTTCCATTTCTTCTTTTGCCTAAGCCTCATACCTTTCCCTTCCTTGCACTATTTGTTTAGAAAATGCTGACCCCTCATTGCTCCAAAAAAATCCCCCCAGACTGGATGTGGCTGTGATGCACACTGCTTTCCTGCAGTCTTCATTTATGGGGCACCAGTGGTATGAGGACCCTCATTGCTGGGCCAGGACCTTTTATGCCCAGCACTGCACAAACACAGGGCAAAATGTCAGTCTGGACCCTCCTGACTATGTGTCTAAAGGAAAACAGGCACGATAATGCAGTACCACACCACACTTAACATTACCTTTTGGGATCTGATAGCTTTACAGAAATAGGAAGTTTTCATTGTTAGTAAACCGATGAAATTTATTTAGCAGCAGTCATTTACATTTACTGGGCTATGAAAGAACAGGAAGCGTCTGGCATCCACAGAGATCCAGATTGATCTCTCAGTCTCTTCTTGACAAGCAGCCAGTTTTGAGACCTATCTCGCCAGGCATACTTAAACACCCACTTGCTGTTTTCTACCCTGAGCCACTGGGGAGACAGAGCTTTGTTGCCTCCTGAGGGAAAGGGGAAAATCCCAGCCATATGAGCAGTTTAAAACTGACCAGGAACAAAGATGGATGGTAAGAGTTAAGAAAAATTGCATACAAGCGACTCAGACTGTTGTCCTTTCAGTGGTCCCATCTCCATTCTCAGGTATGCTTTTAAAGCTAAGTAAATGCCTAGACAAGAGCAGAATCACTGCACTGAAAATTTACACTAAGGCAGATGAGATTAGAATCTCAGCTATACACTTCAAAGATGCCATAACTACAGAAATGGGAAGAGTATTATTAACTATCACTTTTTACTATGTAGAACTAGAGCAAAGTTATTTGAAGCATAAAAAATTCTGGCAAAAGGCTGCCATATTTAATAAATCACTGAATCAATTATTCACTGTGAAAATCAATTACTTACTTCAAATAAGAATCTTACAAATAACCTCATGCCCTTTCATGCCATCTAAGAAAGTTATAGGGGAATTAGTCAGTAAAAAATGCCTCACTTATCTTTTATGTGCATTAAAAAGACCACACAAATACAGTGAAATTCTGCCAATGGAATAGTCCAGAATAATTGTAATGAAGTCAGAGTATTACTGTGGATTTACACTGCAATAAAAAGCAGAACATTGGGGCACCACCTATGATCAGTTATCCAGGTGCAATTCAGAAACAATTCCATTCAGTCCATGCCATTTCACAAATGTGAAACCAGAATATAACCAGCCAACCACACAACCTCCTCTACAACATGAACTACATTAAGTAACTACTCAAAGGAACACAGTGTATCTTCACAGGTCAGGAAATACTGCCATGAATCTCCATGGAGACACTTTAATGTGAATATTGCATGGCCTTGCAGCAGCTCCCCAGTTCCTGCTTTTAAAGGTTTGCTGATACATGACCATTTCCAGAAAAAGCTGCAAGTCCCAATGCAGTCTCCTTCCTCCCACCTACAAAAACAAACCACTCCAGGAACCTAACAGTGCAAAGTACTTACTGAGCTGTAGAGATATCCCTCAGCATTCATGGCAACATACAGACCTGCCTTCACCCCTTGAATTGCCACCACACGAAGACCCACAGGAATTAGATTGAAAAGGGCTGTGGAAGGAAAAGAAAAGAAAAGTTTATGGAGACATCACCTTTGCGTGGCCAATGCTGGTTTTTGCCCCAGGGCCAGCCCACCCCATTCCTGACATTTACCAGCAGACACTGGACTAGAATCAGAAGTCCTGCTTCCAGGTACAGGAAAGACCTGCAGCCAGGGGGCCAGTGTTGAAAAGAAATTTTTAAAAGTGCTGAGTTTGGCTGCCTCCCAGAAGCTTTAACACACCCATCAGTCTGTTTGATCACTGCCTTTGCAATGCCAAGGGCTCATACGTGCGCTCAAGCTAGCACATCTCAACGGCTTTCCATGGGCCAGCTGAGCTGCGCTAACTGCACGTGTACACGTCGTTGCCCACGGCAAATGCAACAACATAGCTTAGTGTAGTTCACCCTGAAACACATTTAAACCTAGACACACTTTATTGCATTTGCCATATGCTAAAAGAGTATACAGACAGCAACCACGGCCAGAAGGATAAAAATTAACTTGACTATGTGTCTGTGTGACCCCTGCTGTCAAGGGAATGAAGAAACTCAGGAAGAGACAGTGCTTCACTCCAGGACCTGAGCACTGTTCCTCATTTAGAAGCCACACTAGACAGGACAGAAGAGGATAAGACCTTGCAAGACTCAATTTTACTGCAATCTTACTGATTAAAGCATTGCAATCACTATCTCCCAATTAATTACTTTAATGCTTGATTCCAAGTAGATCCTGTAGCTCACTGAAAGACCTTCCCCAGGAGCATATACATTAACGTATTGTCAGGCTTTTCTACATTTCTGACAGAATGGGCTCAAAGAGAAGAGGGCTGAGTACTGAGGCATTAGCATGGCTTTTTTCTACCCAGATTTGCAAGACAAGAGTATCCAGATGTTGTAGGACCCTAAGTGCTTCAACTTAAATAGCTAACCAGACTTTGACCCAGGTAGCTCAGGTTATGGAAAGATTGTCACAGGGTCAGGCAGAAATGTGAGCACAAATACAATGGAAATACTTCACTCAAGGTCTCTTGCCACTCAACTGCCCTGAAACAGTGATTTTTTTTCTGGTTCTCTAGTCATGAGGTCAGGCTGCCCCTTCCACATTCATAAAGCATTTCTCATGACTTTTTAACACATTCACTTATTTACAAAAGCCTGCTTTGAAGCTTTGAGAGTGTTGGGGTGTTCAAATTAGCCCAGGGCAGATGTGTGAATGAGTAGAATGCAGAGGAAAGACTGAGGGACAGGGCATGCAGTGAAGCATTCCTTTTTTCCAGCTGACCCTTAAGGACATTATCCTCTAGCCGATTCATTTTATAGATCATTTACAAAGTTTTATGCCTGACACATCACACCGCAGCAAGCACAGCACAAAGGGATGTTCACATAACGGCTATAGGAGAAACAGTCCGTCTCACTGTGCCATCTCACAGCCTCTCCTTCCCTGGGAGATGGACTACTGCTGATTTAATACTACCCCCGAAGCATAAAGCTTTTGCTGAAATGGCCTGTTCAAAATGCTATAGCTCCTCAAGCCAGGCTAGTGTTAATCCTGCTATGACAGGAAGGAGCCAAGTCCAGTTCAGCAAGAAACTGGTTAGATGTGCATGTGCTAGGTAATGCATGTATTTAACTCAACCGTAAGATGCTTCCCAAGAACTCCCTTCATGTACAGCCTGTGAATTTCTGCAGAGGGGAGGAGATGGAAGTTTTAGCCAATGTGGAGAAAAGGGGGTGATGGGAGAAGAACTGAAACTGTGTCTTCATTCTTTCCTTGCTGCACAAGGCTGAACCAAACTACAAAGTCTGATCCAAAGTCACAGGATTTTTTTCAGAATTTCTAAGAGGAAAAAGTAGAGCCCAAAGGGTCTGTGAAATGTAATGGGAAACTGGTTACATTCGACCTGAACTCTTGTTGGATTTGCTTAAAGGTCAGAGGTGGATCCCTTTTCAGAAGTAAAACCTGAAGAAAGCACAAGAGACAGAAAGCTACTTTGCTCAAGATATCTAACAGGTGTCTTGGCAAAACTAGTTTCAGGGTTGTCTCCAAAAAGAGATTCACAAGTCCCAAATTCACATTAATGCCCTTTTTTCTCACTCAGCTCCCAAGGAAGAATGCTCAGCTCCCCTTAGTGAGCTGCCTAAAAGGGAGGCACCGTGAGTCTAGTAAAACCAAATTTAGTCTCAGCCCCTTTTTATGCTTTTAAGCACCATATTCAGTAAATTATCAAAACGTGTGTTGAAGTCTTACCAAAGCCAATGCCTATATTTGTGATTTCATGGGAGGATGTCAACAGATGCATATGGCAAATGAATTCTAGCCTGAGTACTGGTCTAAAGAACTGGAGTCAAGGAAGACAGTGCTGCTCTGATATTGTCCCCAGAAGACACAAACACAACCCAGCTACTCAGCATTAAAGAGCTGTGTTATAGCGCGTTTGTATCATTGAAAAGCTCACTAAGCAAAGTAAGCTCGTATTTCTATCACTTTCTCACTACCATGAAGGTCTAAAGCCCCCTGCAATTAACAAGTCTATTTATATGCAATTCCCCTTCCTTAATTTTTCCTCCCAGTGAAAAATGGAGCATATTACTGCTAATAATGAAACAAAATGGGCATCATCATTCATTCCCTACAGCCAATTTATCTTGCATAGAAAACTTGTGACAGACTGTTCAAAGCATTCATTAAGCAGCAAGGTGATAATACCCAGAATTAGTGGGTGAAAAGTTCCACTTGGAAGCATCCACACATCTCCAAATTTCTCTCTTCCCACCTACACTTGCTAAAGGAGCACAAGAACAATTCCCCTGTGCTCTGTGTTACAGTAGCAAGACCACTGCCAGTTCGCAAGCTCCCCGAGACCCTGCTGCAGACCATGGGAGCAACACCCACAATCAGAGCTTTTAGGCGTGGCAGAGCATCTCCTGCAACATAGTGCAGAGTATAGGAGGAAGTGAGCAGGCAGACAAGCAGGACGACATGCATCTGACATACATAACTAGCAGCCGAAGTTTTCCGTAGCACATATGTTCCTTTATTAAAAAAAGTGGTTTGGGTTAATCAAGACTTTGCGAATTCTTCAAGCTGTTTCTGCACTTCAATCTAGAGACGTCTTAGGAGAAATTGAAGCCTTTAGTTATCATACCTCCAAATAAATATTTAATATTTAGAATAGACTTAAAAGCTTATAAGCTTTATTGTAAGAATGTAAAATGAGGGAGGAAAAACCCTCAACCAACCTCAAAAGCAGTATGTCTCATTTTGTGTCAGGAAAAAAGTTCTGGTTAATGTGAAACTGCAGAAATAGAAATGAGGAAGAGGACTAGCTGTGGTAAAGTAGGACTGGACACATGATGTGCTGATGTGAAAAAGAGAAAATTCAACAAATGCTTTCAAAACTCTGCTGCAAATGATACATATTCTATGCCATCTGCAACTTCATGGAATGAACACCATCTTTTACTTCATGGGCAGAAGAGGAAAAAAAAGGACATTGAATTATTTCTGCATATTTTGCTTCATTACATCTTACCATTTTCAGCCATTGGTAGATTTACAGCTGACCCTGCTTACTGATCATATTACTTTTAGCATGCTACAGTCCTAAACCTTTTGGCCACGAGTATGCTGTTCGCCGTTACATTATGACAATTTATCAGCTGCATAACATGGTTTTAAAATCTGAATGCATACTTCGCTATGTGTCTGGACTAACTTATTTACAGAAATGGATGAGTAAGGGAAGATGTGCCATATAGAAGACGTGGGCCATATGCTCAGTTGATTTAAGCAGCAGTAAGTCAGAGGACCTAAACTAATTTATACCAGGTGATTTGTTCTGGAGCAAGACATTTATGCTGCACATGAATAAAGAAGAACTAATGGAGGATGCAATAGGCATCAGCAGCTTTTGTGCACCATGAGATGGGAAGGTTTAAGATCATGAGGGAAATGAGGAATGCTGCTAAGATGATCAAGAGGCTGTGGCGCAACATGTACAGTTACTTGTCTCATGCAACATAAGAGAAGAAACTGGGGGAACTGTATTTATTTGCTTAGCTCAAAGAAGGGAACACAATGAAACTTCTCAGAGGAACACAATGAAAAGACAAGAAGCACTAGACAAGAGCCTCAAAGAAACTGTGACTGGTTAAAAAGAAAATTCTCTACAATGAGAATAGTGCAGCACTGGAACCAGACAGGTTACGAAGCTATGGAACAGCTCACTCCTGGAGGCATTTGAAACAATTAAACAAGGCTCTCTGCAGCTGAAGGTAACCCAGCTCCAAGTAGGATGCTCGACTGGAGACCTCCATGGGTTTCCCCAGTCTTAATCTTTTTGTGTTTGTGTCTGGAAAGCCCTAGCAATATCCTAGATATGCTAGGCTGTTTCCACCTGTTCAGTTTAGTTGACCTATCCTTTATGTACTGTCTATTTGCTAAGGCTTTTCAGGCATTCAGCAGG